TGTCTCGCTTTGGTATTCGCAATTCAAAAGATGCGACATTACCTAGTTGGACAGACAATTCACGTCATCTCTAAAGTAAATCCTTTGAGAGTGCTGATGACGAAACCATCATCTCTGAATTGCCGGCTTGCAAAATGGGCGATTCTCTTGTCACAGTACGACATGCAGTTCATGCCCCAAAAGGCGGTCAAGGGTCAAGCACTGGCAGACTTCTTAGCCGATCACCCAGTATCGGGAATATCTAAGTTGTACGAGGAGTTACCTGACGAAGTCGCTGAAACTTGTGTTACTCAAGAAGCTACGCAAGTGTGGAAATTATTCTTCGACGGTGCATCCAGAGCAAATCCTCATGGAGCGATCACCGCGGGAGTAGGAATAGTATTAATCTCTCCGAACGGCCATGTCGCTCTGCTATTAGGCATGCAATTTGCTGAAGAACTTGGTATTCAGCATCTTGAAGCTTACGGTGACTCTCAGCTCATCGTTAATCAAGTTCGAGGAGAATATGAAGCACGTCATGAGGATTTGATCCCGTATTACTTTGCAGTGCTAGAGCAGGCTCAAAAGTTCGAGGGCTTCTTTATCGAATACGTGCCACGAGCTCAGAATGCTTACGCAGATGCTCTAGCCTCCTTGGCAACCTCATTAGCGTTGCCACCGAAGACTGAAACAACTATTCCAGTCGCGGGACGGAAATTATACTTTTCTAAAATTCCTACGGAAGAAAACTTAGACGAGACACCGTCAGGAGAAGTCTGTACAACTTCTATGGAGTTTGAATCCAGGGATTGGCGATTCCCGTACATTGACTATGCCGTATATGGAATTCTACCAGAAGATCCTAAGGAAGCGGCTTCTATCAAACGAAAGGCCCTCCGATTCTATTACGACGCAGTCTCTCAAGTCATGTATCGTAAATCGCATGATGGAGTTTTGCTTCGATGTCTCTCCCGGAAAGAAGCAAAAGAGGCCCTCAAGGAAGCTCACGGCGGAATGTGCGGAGCTCATCAACCTGGAGCTAAATTAGGAGATCGTCTCCGACGAATCGGCTATTATTGGCCGAAAATGTTTTCAGACGCGGTTGACTATGCTAAACGTTGTCACGCGTGCCAAATTCATGGGGATTTCATCCACCAAGCACCTGGAAACTTACACCCCACATCGGCGACTTGGCCATTCGAAATGTGGGAGTGGATATCGTCGGACCGATTTTCCCTCCGACATCCAAGGGACACCGGTTCATTCTAGCCGTGACCGATTATTTCTCCAAGTGGGCGGAAGCAATCCCGTTGAAAGAAGTCAAGACTTCAAACGTGATCAAGTTTATCAAACATCACGTCATCTATCGCTTTGGAGTCCCAAGACGAATAGTTCACGACAACGGGACACAATTCGTCAGTTTTGGGTTCCAGAGATTTTGTAATAAATTCAGAATCCAAAGTGTTGCATCTACGGCTTATTATCCGCCAGCAAATGGTCTTGCAGAAGCCTTCAATAAAACCATAGTGAAGCTTCTCAAAAAGTTTGTTTCTAAAAGCCGACGCGATTGGGATGAAAGACTAGGAGAATGTCTTTGGGCTTACCGCACTACAGTAAGGACCTCTACAAGAGCCACGCCATTCTCTTTGGTATACGGCTGCGAGGCTGTACTGCCATTGGAAATCCAGATTCCTTCTCTGAGAGTCGCTATCACAACTGAACTAACAGAAGAAGAAAAACATCAACGACGTCTGCAAGAACTTGAAGCCTTAGACGACAAGCGATTTCAAGCTCAACAACAGATCGAGTTGTACCAAGCCCGTATTTCCAAAGCCTACAACAAAAAGGTCAAGGAACGGATTTTCAAGAAAGGCGATCTAGTGTTGGCCAACAGACGACCCATGGTGATGACACACAAAACCAAAGGGAAGTTCAATCCTAAATGGGAAGGGCCCTTCGTAATAGAATCAGTCTATTCGAACGGAGCATACCGCCTCATCAATCAAGAAGGAGACAGGCTCATGATGCCAATTAATGGGAAATTTATTAAGAGATACTTCCCGTAAATCATGTAGCTCCCTAAACCCCAACCAAATCAGGCCGGGGGTTGCCTATTCATAGTGTAATTCTATCTTGTATTTCGTCATGTTAACACTACACCTCTGACGATTGTAATTTGATGGAATTATTCTAAATAAATAATAAAGGGAATTTCGATAACATTTGCATTATTTTCTATTGTCTTGAACCAGATTTCAACAAAAAGAGACGATAAAGAGCAAAAGAGATATCGTTTTCATTCAGTGATGTTAATCCAAACACAAAATGAAAAAGATACAAAATTCCTTAATCAAAAACAGATCAAGAGCTAAACATCAGGCTTCATTAACTTGAGGGTTTTTAGCCTAGACTTGAAGGCAGAGAGTTTCTCCCGGTGAGCCGCTCGAACTTGTTCCTCGATCTCCTTTCTGAGTTCTGCTTCAATAGGAAGAGTAGCAACAATGTCCTTACGAGTCTGCTCAGCTGCGTGGAGTGTACGGCAAAATTTCGTATAAATTTGGCCACTTTTATGCTCAAGCTCTTTTCTGACATCCTCATAGTGGGCCAATTGAGCTTTCTTCTGGTCCAACTCGGCCTCTAATCGAGCGATAGTCTCTTCAATATCACGGATATCAGAAGCAACACGTTTGATTTTAGCATATGCTTTAGAGTGTCGCTTCCTTAAAGTTGATATACGGGCTATTTTATCAGATAGTTCCTTGCGAAGATTCCCTGGGTGATGCGCTCTCGAGATTATCGCCAAGGAAAGAGCCGACTCCACTTCAGAATCTAAATTGGCGCGCTGTAACTCCCTGAAAGCTGTCAATTCTGTCATCAAAAGAGTGATCCCACCCTGGCAGTGCTCAGTCCAGGATGCATCCCCTTTGGCCTTGATATCATCCAAACATTGGTTCAAGATGGACTCGCAGTCTTCAAGCGAAGCTCCTTCAACACTGACCATACCAATAATTGTTTGCATCCAACGTTCCAGTTCATCAATTGATTTCTTCAGAGCTCCTGAGCGTGGAGGAGGAAAAGTTGGATAGATTGGATCCGTATGATTATCCTGAACAGGTGTTGGAGCAACTTCAGAAGAAGGACCCTCTCCAACCCTATCGTCTTCAGGAACTGAGGGGATCGATTGGGGCATTTCGTCCTCTCCGTCAGCAGAACGCTCAACGAGCGCAGACTTCATCACATCCCCCATTAATTTGGCCCTTTTGGAATTCTTGGCCATGACAGGTATCCGCTTACGGATTCTCCTGTCATACTCACTTTGCTCAGCAGCAGAAAGAGCTTTCTTACCTGATCTGAGAGAACGAGGTGTAAGAACGGACTCTTCTACAGGAATCGCCTCAGTTGTCTTTTCTTTGGGAGAATCATCAATTGGCTCTCCCTCTTCAATTCCCGTAGGAACCTCTTCTTCAGAAGGTTTTACGGTAGACAAGTCCTCAGGAGCTTCAGTGGCTCCGATCGCTTCCTGTTCACAAGATAAGTATTCTTCCATCCCTGACAGACGAGTACTCGCAGAACCACTCCGTGAACGGTACAATTCCCGAATCTCGTTTATACATGAAGTATAAACGTCATATTCCGGAATCCGAGAAGCTTCAGCAAACCACTGGCGGAAATCCATAACAGTAGAGCAGCCGGGTGGTGAGTTGGGTAAAGTGAATTGCGCATGGGTTCCCCCAGCGGAGAAAAAGTACCATGCGCGAGCTCCTTCGTATAAATTCCCAATCTGAGCTAACGCCGGGTTAGGATTGCCAACATAGAGTTGGTCATATCCAAACTGTCTCGCGAACCGAGAAGGCATGTAAGGCTCGATTACGCACTTCTCCCGTGAGCGATAGACCAGGTAGCCCAACCTGATCATAAGAAGCCAGCTGAATGTACCCTCTTCCAAAGAAGACGAGCCTTCAAAAAGCAAATCCATGAAACGAGCATCCTTAACATCAGCCCCGTCAAAGTTAGGAGCACAGCAGAAAACCTGGTAATTATCCTCTCGGGATAGAAGCTGTCGAGCCCTGACTATATAAGAACTAGTCCACGTGGCCGACTCCAATCTTTGTACGAAGGGAGTATAAGCATCACCCCCTTCATGCACTCCCGTCATTAATGAAGGGCAATGCAACACGAACCAGGCCATTAAATATGTGTATGGCACTGGTACACGTGGTTGAGGAGCTTTTCCAGCTTTCTTCTTAGCGGCTTTGACTCTCGAAGCACTGAGGAGTTCTGAAGTCAACACCCTCAGGCCATTCTGAATACAGCCAACCATAGCAGTAAGGAGGCTCACAGGTCTCCCATGCGCTAGCAAAACAGCTGGGTACACTACCTCAGCTAATATTGCCTCTATCGGTCTTGACGGTACTACGCACCGCTTCAACCAAATCATGAAGAAGCCTGCAAGCAGAGCCGTGTCAGAGATAGGAACTGTGGCTTGGTAGTGGAAACTTTCAAATTCGACACCAGCTTCAAAATCATCCTCGGCATGCTCTGTCTTATAGGTAGCATTGGAAGCCGTAATTCGAGCTTTGGCATCCTTAAGAGAGAGAACTGCAACGCGGTATACGGCTACATCTTTTTGGTTCAAATTCTGAAAGAGATAGTCTGCCCACGGGGTATGCATAATGCCCCCTCCACGCATCCCAAAGACTTGGGCACATATATGGAAGTGGCACATCAATTCCCAGAAGGTAGCATAAATTTCAGGGTACGTCACCTTCAGCAAGGAAAGCTCCTCAGTGGTGGGAATAAACTCCTCGTAGGGCATTTTTCCAAGTGACAGCCCCGACACTGCCTGCATCTCATGAAGAGCAAAACCTAACTCTCCAGCAGGCATAAAGAATGTGCAGCTGTCAGGGTTATATTTCTCCAACATAGCGAAGAAATTATGAAGACTCTGCACGACTCCCCCGATTGAGCGAGCGAGTCCTTAAGCTCCTCAAGAACGAAGTCAACCATACGGGTCCACCAACCTCCTTCTCCGGAACAGATCCATCCAGGGGATCTGAACGTCTGGGTAGAGAATTCACCCTGGGTTGCAAGGAATTGGCGAATAAAGATGTTCGTTGGACGTGGCATCTCCTGAACCAGCTCAATCTTCTCAAACAAACCAGGTCTTAACCCCTTGAGTTGTCCCTCGATTTGTGTACGAGTTCGACAACCAAATCCAAGCGACACGTTCTCCTTCTCCTTCACTATGTCGAAAGTCAAACCCCGACGGCAGCTCGTATTCAGAAAGTAGGAGAGAGGGTACATCCTCTTCATGTTGGGGAGGAATAAGAAGCGGGTATCAACTCTCCGCAGCAGCTTCGAATCTTCCACGTGTGTGAGATGATCATTGGCTGGTATGCGATCTCCAAATATGAACGCTGGTTTAGGAAACTGGGCATGACCAGCAGGGGTCTCCATGTCTAAATCAGTTATCAAAATCCTGAGAGTAGAGCATTGAGGGAATTTAATCATTTCCGCTCTTTCCGAATCAGGAAAAGTACACAATGGAATTTGGTTCTGAAGACTGAATATTTCATTCGCGTCAGGTCCCCCGATGTACCCAAAATGATGCTCTTGTGAAAGTGGCACGTTTGGGAGAAGTACTGCACAGTCAAAAGCAGAAGTTAGCGGCGAGCTATCAACATAAGGACATAGCCTGAAACATAAAGGGTTAAAGGCTCATGTCGAAATCTCCAACGCGAAGGTCGAACCGCGCGTCAGAAATCCCCAACGCGAAGGTCGAACCTCGCGTCAGAAGTCTTAAACGCGAAGGTCAACCTCGCGTTGAAAAATTTAAACGCGAAGGTCAACCTCGCGTTGAAAAACTTGAACGCGAGGGTCAAGACCCACATGGGATCCCAACCCCGCGTTTTCATTGAGTTGAAACGAGTCATCTTCATCGTTATCAAGAACCCATCTAGGGTTTTCAGAGAACTTGCCGAGGCAAGTTATTTCGGTTAGCACTCACCACGATAGGGAAGCCCCCGCAGCAGCGGTGACGACGACGATGTCCCCGCATGAGCAAGAGCGCCGCCGGCGTCCT